TTTTTTTTTTTTTTTTTTTAAATGGTTGACACTAATTCGGAAATTTTAAATAATAATGATAATATTTATATATAAATTTGTAATAATAAATATATAATTTCATATTTTTTGAAATAAAAATATATTTTTTAATTATTTTTTATGATATTTCATATTCTAAAAATATTAAATAATTTTTTATTTTATTTTTAACATCTTCAAAATTATTTTTTTATATATAAATAAAACAATCATTTAATCATTTATTTCTCACATTAAAATTATCTTTTTAAGAAAAGTATAATATGAGCTTAAATAAATCATCTTTTGACTAAATTTACTTAATTGTAATTGATATGACACATTGCGTAAGTTTGCTAATTCACAACTACTTGTTTTATTTTAAAAAAGAAGTAAGTTAACAAGTTACATTTATATGTATTTTAAAAAATATTACAATTATAACTTGTTGATATACTCTTTCCTTTTAAAAAAAAAACGAAGATGTATTTTAACAAATCTCACATATATTTAATAACTTTCATCCATTTAATTTTTAGGTGGTGTATTGGTTTAGAATTTCATAAGATTTTAAAAGATTTTTTTTGAGTAAAAAAGTCTATTGGTATTTGATCAGGATTTTATGTCACTTAAAAATAATTCAGTGGTATTCAATCTGGATTTTCAAAATTTTTTAAAGAGTCCTTAAAATTAATTGGTATTCATTTGAGATGTTTTACAACTTAAAAATAATCCATTGGTATTCAAAAATATAAGGATTTTAAAGGATTGTTGTGTTAGATGAATTTTGAAGGACTTTTTAGTGCTATCTATAAATACCAAATTCATAAAACAATCTCATCCAAACCCATCAGATTTTGGAGGATTATTTGAAGTGACTTTTCAAGTGCTTCAAAAATTTCTAAGTGAGTTTTTCATTTTTTTTTTCTATGTTCCTGTCTTCTCCATATATATAGATGTGTGTATGCACGTGTGTAAATTTTCATTAATTTTATTCTTAATCTAAAATATTTAAATCTTTATTCAATAATTAAGTTAAATGATCATGGCAATATACTAATAACTAATTACATATTATCATTAGTATATTATCATTTCTTATTTTTTCTTTATAATTTAAAAAACCAACTTATCACATATAATATTGTAACCAATATGGCATCTACGAAGTAGAGTCGGAAATTTAAGAAAACTTAAATTTAGAGCATTTTTGTAACCAAAAAAAAAACATAATGTATTATTACATTACTAATTTCCTACATCTTGAAACGGTCATAAAATGGTGTCTTTAGGTCAACATCCAATTTGGTTAAGCATCCTAAGGGATACCTAGATCAAAAACAAACGGTGGAAATAAGGAAATAAGAAACTAGGTTTTGAAAAGAGTTGAGAATACCAAGTCCTTGTCCTCACTCTTCCCCACATTTTGCCAAGTCAAACAGTTGAAAGTATGATAGTGAAGGCATGAATGGATGCCACGTGGAGGCTCCAAAATGATCCTTCGAATGCACCCATAAACTAAGAGATCATTTAAGCCATGCTTGGCACATAGGTGGTCATGCCATCTATGTGGCTACACATAACAATAATATTTTAAAGTTTCATGCATATATATTATCGTGCGTGCTGCGTTTGTTGTAAGTTGTACCCCTCTTCTCACGTCACCAAAGACATGTTGTTCCCCTCTATCATGTTTTATTCATAGATTCTTCTTCACCTTCTTTTAATCAATTCCAAGTTTTTGATTTATGTGACATTGTCCTTGTCTCCTTTGTTAATTGATTGAGAAAGACAATTATCTTACCTAAAACAACTGTTCAGTTTAAGTTAATCATCGAACTGTTTTCCTTTTTGCTTATTTTTTTAATTGTGAAATTGAATTTGAATAATTAAATATTACTTGCCACTAAAAGTTTACAATGGATCTCACGTTAGACAAGAATGAAGATATGGGGAAAAAGACACAAGTTTATTGTATTAAATAAATTAGCAATGCAACATAGTAATGTTATCTTGAAAAATCTTTTCGAGATCAAATTTATGTTAGCATTTAGCATAGTGACCATAATAATTCATTAATCCTGTTCACAGAAATTGTCTTTTAACGTAGCTTGAAAATTTATCTATACTTATAAAGAAATTTTTTATTTTAGTATTCGCATTATTTTTTGACAATTTTAATCCTACATAAACATGTATGAATCGCATGATAATAATTAATAAAAAATTAAAAAAAGCTCTTTTGTATAGAAGTTTTATTCTTAAAAACACCGGTAATTATACATTACTTCTACTAACATGTGTATATTCAAAGAAAAGTCACATCTCAAGTTCAATTTCTGTTTATGTTAAAATAATATTTTGTTAGTAAAAATTACGTTTTGCAAGTGCAAATTAGTCTTTAATTATAAGTTCCATAATACTATGTGGATTGCATTCATGAAAAAAAAAAAAAAAAAAAGAACACCGGAGATACAGATACAGAATATATTCTTTTTCCGCTGGTTATTATAAAGCAAAAGTTACATAAAGATTAAGCTTCATCGATTTGAATAGTATGATAATTTTTTTTACTGGTTTGAATAGTGTGGTATGAATAACAGCTTTAGAAGTTTAAATAATCTTACAAAAAGATAAACTAAATGAATAATATCAAATAATTAATAGAAACTAAAATTTTCCTGCATATAAAATAAAAACAGAAAATTGCAATAGTACTAGAGAAATGTAACTTCCCAAGGATTGTGTAGAATTGATAGAGGAAAAAGAAATCCAAGTGCCCTGTGTTCCTTTAATGAACAATTATTTTATTTTTAGTTGTTAATTAAGAAGATAACATTGAGGAACGTCTAAAAGGAGTTGCTGATTTAGATGCTTCAACTACTAATGAGATTAAGGGGACCTTTAGATTTTCAATGAGAATCTTTCCCATAGAAAAACACCCCTCTCTAATTTTCTATGCATCATTATCCTTTTATTTCCTTGGTTGTTTATCAAATGTAGCCTTTAGCTGCCTTTTAAAGTTATTATCTTATTTAAAAATAATCCAAGTCTAATGTCATTTGAATTTTTCAAGAACGAAAATGAATTGAAAAATAGGCCAATATTTAAAGTCAATGATTCACGCTAATACTTTTTATAATATTTGCCACCCATATAATTCCGTATTTGATACCTACTACAACTACTACTAGTTCCTCTGAGTTCATAAAAATTGAAATGAGTAGTACTTGAGCATAGTTAATTATGTAGACATTGGAGAGACAAATACATGAATGATAATCAACTTGGCTCCTCTAATATGATAGGAGTCAAATTTTTTAACATTTTTGTCAACACATACTAGTATACCAACAAACTATAATGTTCGATGTGATGACAATGCTAAAATGTTTTACCATAAAAAATATATGGCACCGTACTTCTTAAAATTTGATTAAAGTTT